ATGATTTCTTAAAATAAGAATAAAATAAAAATAAATACATTAAATAACATTTTAAAAAGACAATATACACAACTAAATTGTAACAACTTAACTTAAAAATTAAATCTTTTAAAACTAAAGAGAGAATATAAATTATATTAATGCAAATTAATCTTCACCCATAAGAAATTTTAGAATTTAAGCCCCTTCGGCTCTAAGGGCATATTTGGTTTGCAATTTTCGTGGAAAAAGAATTCGGGAAAGCTGCACAACAAAATAGTTTGACTTGGTTAAGAAATTAAATTTCTTAACATAAAAATCAATATCTAATATAATTAATTATAATAATTTGATAATTTGTTACATTGAGTGTACAATTGATTATAAAGAGTAAGAAATGATTATATATCATATCATTCACTTCTTTTTCCTTTATAACCAATTAATTCACTTTCTCTTCACTTCCCATGCAAAAAGTTCCAAAATATTTTTTAAGGAAAGTTATATATAGTAACTTACACAATTTATTATAATTAATTATATTATATCTTAATTTTCATGCTAAAAATTTTATTTTACTAAGCTAACCTGAACAGTTTATTTTATCGATTACTACAGATTCTTTTTCTGAAATCCGGAATAGCCAATAAAGTTTAGCTACGTCCATGGTCGACTCCACTAATGGGTCATATACGAGTGGTCCACCATACTAATGTGCCATACGAGTGGCGGGTCGTTTGGAACCGGGTCATTGTTAATTGTATGTTTTCGAGGCCTTTCCTAACTTTGCCTCCATGCACATATTATGGATAGTTTTATCATAAATATATATAAAATAATAAAAATTATTATTAATTTAAAATTAATTTTTATTTTTTAATATAAATTAATTATAAAAAATATTTTTATTATAGTATTTGCTTGCACTCTAAAAAGCATATATTAGAGTTTTTTTTTTTTTCAATATGAAAAAGGAGCACGAACTTGCTGTGTAACTTCGCAATTGACTCGGTCTTATGTTTTTGGTACATTGACTCGGTCTTATTGAACCGTCATTAAAGGCAAATTCAGCGACGATTTGATAGATAATGTGATTTGTCATTGCCCATTCACTTTCTGGGTAGCTTCCTGCTTGACTAGTTGGGTTTATGTTAGCCACATAGAGTTTCTATTTATTTTTTAATTACCTCCTTTTATAATTTTTAGTAAAGAGAATAAAAGAAAAATAAATAAATAACAAGGGATAAAATAATCAAATATATTAAAATAGTGTGTTATGAATCTCACCCTCCTCTTTGATTTCAATTTAAATATCTTTTTAAAAATGTGTTCTTATTTCATTTTAGGTTTTTTGAAAAGGGAGGTGGAGGGAATCATGGGAAAGAAGTGGTGGTTTTCTGTTTTTAATTTATTAATGTTAATAATAGGTGCTAAACATATGAGGTCTCACATTGAAAAAAAAAATGTTATTTAAATATAAAATAAAATACTTTATCTATTAATAATTCATTTTAGATTAGAACTTCAACATGTTGTAACCGCATGCATATTTTTCCACGTTGGGCCCTGATTGACAACGATGTCGACCTAACTACTAACGATCGATAATCGAGAGGAAGAATGCAATATCGACCGAATTTCCGCGAGGTAGTTCTCTTTACATATTCATCGCTCCACCAATCCCTTGGCTTCTTCTGAGAAGTAAAAGGAGTACTCAAGGAATATTACCAATATCTATGGTGACAGTGAAGATGGGGAAGCATGGCAATCCATCATTCAAAGCTGTAGGTGTTTAATTTCTTTATCAATTCATTATTTATCTTTGAGCTTTGAGTTTTCTCGTATACAACAATTTTTTTCAAAGCTAACAGACTTTTCCTCAAGGAATATAATTTACACGGCGCTTGTATTGATTTGTAAAATTAATAAATCTTGTGGTTCGTAGTGATTTTGGTGATAATACGTAGAATAACAATAGTGTTAAAAATTGGAAAAAAACACGAATTAATTTTGGTCAAAAAGCTACTTTTTGTTAATTTACTGTAGCAATTATTCTTATCTTCTCATTTCCTTTGGATATATGTTTTTTTCTCTCTTACAACATCCTATCTACAGCGTACCGAAACCAGGTTTTACATGAAGATCATCTGCTTCGGACTGATTCCACAAATCTAATTGGCGGTGAACAAAATCCCCAGATGATGAATCAGACCGCGGCTCAAGCAGAGCCGTTAAGGCAGCGTCAATCAGCTGAACTGACACCTCCAGATTCTCAGACCTCAAAGAGAAAATTTTCTGAAATTACTGCAGTTGACCCGCGTCCCAGCAAAAAAAGAGAGTACGATAGAGCATATAGGCTGAGAGTCAAGGTAAAAGATACCTTGTATGCACTTTACTTTATAATTTTTTCTTTTTGTGTCGAGTTTTGATGTATGAGTATTTATGGTATATTCAGGAACAAAAAACGTCAGTTGAAGCTGAAAATGCAGTATTAAAGCAGGAAATTGAATCCCTGAAAAATAAAATAGCTTCGGTAAGTCAGGAACGTGATGAGTTCAAAAAGGAAAATGTAGAATTGAAGCAGAAGCTGATCAAGAAAAGTGTAAGCTTGCCCTAACTTGTTTTAGAACTTGGCAATTAAATTGAAGGACAAAGAAGCAACATTTACGCTTTTTTTTGTTTTTATTTTTTGCGGAAGAATAATATTGTGGTATATATGTTCAGGAAAAAATTCAACAACTAAAGTCCGATCTAAAGAATAAGGAGGTTGAAAATGGAGAATTAAAGAACGACTTAATTAAATCCCTCAAACAAAGCAATGCGTTGGTGATTCAACCCTTTGAAACTCAGTCAAACGAACCGGACCAACGTCGAAGTGAATACAATATAGAAAAACAATTTGTAAGTCTCTGCCCAGAGCTAGAGATTTCAGTTATTCTATTTTTAGAAAAATTATTGCATGCATTTTTTTTAACAGTTAAATACATATTTTTGAGAGTACATAACTAATTTTCCATATTTCTGGAAAAATAAATGCTTGCATTTCTTTTTAGTAATTTAATACTTTAAAACAAGCAAGCCTCAACTATGCAGAGAATAGCTGGAAACAGTACCAACTTCACTAGAGATTTTGGGCAATACTCCATTGTGGAAACAGAAGGACGTTCCATGCACAGCACAGTAGCAATGTTTAAGGTAAATAAATGAGATCATAAACTAAATGTTGGCTGTAAGCAGGTGTAGCACTGGGGTTGTAAAATAAAATGTTTGGTCCCTGAATTTTATTTTTATTATTGTGTATCCTAAATAGTTTTATTATCATTTTAGTTTTTGAATTTTTTTTTTGGTACAAAAGTTTACAATTTTTGGGGGAAATTATTATTTTTATTATTATTGAAGATTGCTTTTAAATGATAATGAGAAAGATAAGTAACATACAGGTAATATGAAAGATAGAAAAATTAAACATTAATTAAATGAAAATTTATTAAATATCATGCATCCTTTCATAAAATATTCCGTAAATAATTTTTTATTTGTTCTTTTACTCATTAAATATGCTCATTTTGTCTTTCAGTTGATAGCATTTATATTACTTCATCAATCACAATTAATTTATCATTAAAGACTAGTAAATTTTTTTTATAATAATTTTCTTAAAATTTTTTTTCTTTATTAACTTTTCAATTTACAAACAAACACACCATTTCTTAGCCAAGATTTCATTTTACCCCCTAAAAATAATTTCTAGCTTCACCACTGTCTTAGGTTACAACAAAATCTCTCAATTACTTTGTAGTAACAATTTCACTCTTAGGCAATAACTGATTTCTTGCCTTATTTTAATATTCTTCCTCCGTTTTTATTTAGTTATCTCACTTTAAACTTACACAGTTATAGAAAAAAAAAATCACTCCATTCATTTAACTTGGGTAGACTCAGTTTTTTTTTTTTTTAATAAAATAGGGATGTAATAATTAATTAATAAAATTTTATATTAATTTGTATTTAATTACTACTTACATAAGCCTTTTTATTTAATATATGTTATAATTATTTTTAAAATAAAAGTAAAATAATAATATGTGTATAAAATGACATTTTAAAAAAAATAGTAAACAACTAAATTTGAATGCCTCAAATTAAAAATTAGGTTTACCAAAGTTGAATGGAGGAAGTATTGAATAATTTTTGAAATTTCATATTTGTCCTTAATAAAAATCTTCTTTGTTATTTTCTTCATTTAATTTTAATAGTTTTTGTTTGAATTTTTAATTTCAAATAAAAATTTAATAAAGCACATAAATAAAAAAATAGTTTTTATTGAATAATTTCATTTTATGAAAAGAAACTCGATTGCCATTTGTATAGTATGTTGAATTCAATTGTTCTTCTCTCATAATTGAGGTTTTTTTGGATCGGCAAGGCAACAAAAACATTTTATATATTGAGGTACGGGAGATATCTCAACCTATTACATCCTTATTTACATTCTTCCTACTTGGCATGTCAAGACTGTAATTTAGGGTGGTAGGTGACTCAACTGTACTAGAGCCTGAAATTGTTAGAATTCAAAACTTAAAGTCAAGTAGGAAGATTGTTTATTTTTTTACTTTTAATGGTTGAAATTTATTCATATTTATTAAAAATAATTATATTTTTATCTAAAAAATTGTGATAAATTCCAACAATTGAAAGTGAAGGAATAAATAATCAAAATTTTATATAAACAAAATGTATAAAATTTATATATAAATACATCTCTATATACATTAAAAATAAATAACTAAATAAATATATATATACATATATATCAAAAAAAGTGTAGTGTCTAGATTGTGTTAAACTATATTGCACTAATTATTAGATGGGAGGTGGACCATTAATAATAAAACCTCTTCACATCTAATGATTCATATTTTATAATTTAATGCAATTTAAATCATAAAACAGAATTTCTTTTATATATATATATACATGTCAGAACGTGATCTATTAAACAACCAATGATCGCACCTCATCACCTACAGCATACACCAAGAACATTTTCAATGACAAAAACCAGCACCACCCCCTTTAGACAATTGATCGAACACCTTGTGTGCACAACAAAATGTAGCTCTAATCTTCCTAACCTGTACCGCCTCAAAACCCAAAAACAAAAAGAAAATAGCAAAAAGGCAAAACACTCCTAAAGACAAATAACCATAACAGTTCACTTCATCCTCCAAAATTCAAAGCCACCACCATCCATAATTTTTCCACAATGCTATGCTCTGTTCCCAATTCTTCGTTGCAGCTACTAGTTAAAATTAATGGCAGAATTTAAGCAAACCAGTGGTTGGGAGCACCAATCGTATAGATGAAACATCATGTCCTTTGACTTGGCCTTTAACCACAACCATGTTTTGATTTGTATCAGTTCAAAGATTCTTCTTCCACCTACATTTCTTTCTCCCTTAAAAATCACCTGGCTCCTCTGTAGCCAAATTCCCCATATTGTTGCTTTCCAATCTGCAATCCAGACCTCCCTTTCCTTTTTACTACGCACCAGTCCACCATATTGTATAAAATTGTCCTTTAAAAGATTTATGCAGCACACCAAGCAATCCCCACCATTTATAACATAAATACCAAACTTGCTATGAAGACTCACTTTCCAAAAATAAATTACCTGCGTCTTTATTTTCCAAGCCACACCATTGCAAAGAGCCTGACTTGTTCTGAAGTTAACACCCTATTTTTTGTAAATTAGCCTTAGTTGGTATTCGATCCTGTAGAGCCATCCAAACAAAGCTTGAGACTTTTAGAGGTACCAGTTTGCTCCATACCTGGCCATATAAACTATATGTTCAGTTTGTGCTGTAAATACTGGTCATGTGATGGTAAAATTGAATTTGCCAAAAAAAAGGAAAAAAAAAAAAAGGGTAAATACAGCTTTAGGCAAATTGAAAGGAATTAACTTTATGGAATTGAATGAGTGATCTCAAAACCTTGGGGTCAACAATAAATCAATTAACAATTATGATCTTTTTAGCAATGTATTTCTAACAATTAAGATATTTTTAACAATTCAGAAACTCCTAAGTGGCCAATAACTGTTGGGATTTTGGAAAAGGGTAGTAGAGATAGGAAACTTGGAGGAGAGTAGAAGAGTAGAACTTAGAACATGAATTTGACATAGCCATCTGAGGGTGCAAATATTCACCTAACTGGAGAGGAGAGGAGAGGAGCTGTTCTCCTACTCTCTCTCATTTTCCATTAACATATCTGCCCATTTATAGCAGAAAATTACAACATAAGAACAGTATTTTTTAACTACTTTTCATGATTAATGGTTACATGCTTCCTACAAACATAAAGGACGGATGAAGAACATATCCCTCAAGAATTCGGTTCTGATATCATGTTGGGATTTTTGGAAAATGGTAGAGATAGGAAACTAGGAGGAGAGACAGAGAAGAGTAGAACTTAGAATATGAATTTGACATAGCCACAGCCACAGAAAGGTGCTGATATTCACCTGCCCAGAGAGGAGAGGACTTGTTCTCCAATTCTCTCATTATCCATTAACTTATCTGCCAATTTATTGCAGAAAATTACAACATAAGAACAGTATTCTTTACCTACATTCCATGATTTATGATTACATGTTTCTTACAAAACTTATTGTAATATTTAAATCAAAGAATATAATACGTAAACTAACATAAAAAGTGGTACATTGAAAACACCATAACATGGCAAATATCTTGCTGCCATTTTCTCTCACATTTCTGCCCTTTTGTTGACCAATTGCAGCCTCCATTTGCATTTCATTTCAGTTGCTTCCATAATGCAGCTTTGTTAGCTGCACTTGTCTGTCCATTAAGACAGCTTTGTTGTTGCAAATTTTGTGTCATTAACGTTGCTTGCTGCACCTCTTGTTGCAGCAACATCATAGCTTTGATGTATTGCCCCAACAATAACTTCTAAGCATAAGTACGCACGGGTTATAAGTTTATGGTTTTACATATAAATTCTCTCTTTTCTTTTCTTTTTTTTTTTTTCTTTTTTTTTTTTCGATTGTCCATAAAGGTTTCTATCATGTTGGAGTACAAAATGTATTCCTTCCCATATACATTATGTTCTGCTGTTACTTCAAGCTAAACGTCTAGTGTTCTAGCACACAAGTTAGAATGGTTCATCCAATCATACAATGAAAACCCACATACACTCAATTTATCTTTTACCCACAAGGACTCAGTTTGTATTATCTCCACCAATCTATGTGCATCTGCCTCCAACCCTTTAACACCCAATTTCTCAACCCCCACATATGCCAAGCGACCAAGATGAACAAAGGGGACCAAACAGCTTTTGTCCTTTCATGCTGCCTCCCCTGAGTGAGTTGCCAAAAAGCCTCCTTCACACTACCTCATAGCACCATATGAATGCTCCACCAAGCTAAAATCTTTATCCACACTCCTAAAAAATAAAGGAAAAACACCCATTAACTATGTTGTTTGATTAAAGCATCACGGGAAAAGACCATACACACACACACACACACCCACAAATTACTTAAACATCCTCCATTGCTAATGACCTTTAAGATGTGACTTGGTATTATTTGCTAGTATATTTGCATACATTTCAGTGAGTGTAAAATAGAAATCAGAACCTGCAACTATAATCACTCAAGAGATCAGTGTAATTAAATGTAAAGCCCTCTATAGCAAGAAAACTTACAATCCCAACCCATTGAGGAGACTGAACATGAGCAGATGCAATAGCAGCTCATTGATGATTTTTTTTTTTTTTTTCAGTCAGAACAGAAGAAAACTCACATAAATTAAACATTTTAGTTAAGGAAGCAGCAGATACAGTAGCATTAACACCACTGAATAAATCATCCACGGTACAGAGAACTCAAAGGAGCATTCTTCACTTCCACTAACAAATCAAGAACACCCATCACGACCACTTCATCTTGCATCACTCACAATCCATCAATCAAACTCACTCGAAAGATAATTTAGATCACTTAAAACATCAGTAAGACAAACAGGCTTGGTCTCTCACCATGTGCAGGGGGAGGGGGTGCGAGGGGGGAACTGGCCCCCTCAACTTTTGAAAAATTTTAAAATTGGTACATACATTATTTTTTTACCCCTAAAAATATATTATATTCATTATGTAAAATTTTAAGTTATTCTCATTTAACTCTTTATAATTTTTGTAATTTTTCATACTTAATAACTCAAGACTCAGACAATTTATAATATTTTTATTATAAAACCACTTCAAATATGGAGAGAATATTAGGACTTAATAAAATATTTTTGCAACTATGAGAAATATTAAAATCTAAATAAATGAATTTCCTACATATTGAATAACTTAGGAAGCAAGGCTCTTTATTAAACTGAAACTCAAAGATTTTCTTCCTTTAGATTTTTAAATTGTTTTAGGATTTTATTTTTTAATTTTTGTCATTTATTTTAGAAAGTGATTTGATTAACGAAACCTTTAGACTCCGTTTAGTATGGTTGTGCTTTTTGGTTTTCAAAATTCAAACAATCAAATTAAAGATTAAAATTGCCAACTTATTAGATATAAAATTTTAAAACAAATACCCAACGTTCTAAACTTAATTAATTTATAGAAAATTTTAAGTTTATTCTAGGGGATCTAAATTTTCAAAAACCAAAACTAAAAACTCAAAACCACAACCATACTAAATGGAGCATCAGTTGATAAAAATGTTTGAGTCTTTATTTAGTCAATAATTTTCTTTCTGAGTAATGATTTACATGTTCCCTCTTTCATATTGTTTAGTTCTATGAGATGGTAGAAGATAATTTTTACAATATGTTTGGGTAGAGAAGAATGGAGGGGAGAGGAGAGGAGAAAATTCCTCTAATTAAAAGAATTGGAGGGGAGGGGAGGGAAGGAGAAGGAAGCCCTTTGCTTTATTTTTTCTTTTAATTTATTTATTTATCCAAATGAAGGGAGGGGAAGAAATGGAGGGAAATGAAAGGATACAGCATCCTTCCATTCCCCTTTCCTCCCTCTGTTTCCCTCAAACCAAACATTCTGTTAATAAACAAATCAATAAAAAAAGATAGATATTTTGTGATAGAAAGAGTAATATTTTGAAATTATTTGAATTAGTTGATCCATTATTTAAATATTATCATAGTGAGACGGTGTTTTTTATTTTAATAAAATGATTTATTTAATAAAAAATAATTAAAGATTTGAAGAAGAAAATTTATTCATTTTTTAATTTTGTTAAGATTCTAATAAGATATCAATGAAAAAACAATCAAAATTAAAATTTTTCTAAAAGAGATTAACTAACATTATAAAAGATATTCATGATCCAATCAATAAAAAATTTCGCCCCCACCCCTCAATTTTCTGGCTTCATCTCTGTCTCTCACTTAATGCACTCACATCTATTCCAGTCCCATTGCAGATAATAGTTAAGAACATAACAATGCGCTGAACCAAGAACTCATCCAACAACTAAAATACAGTAAAACTACACTGAAAATCTCATAGAACTAAATGAAGCCCACAATAAAGACCTTCAAATAATCCACATTCTCAAAGCATCAATAAACCAGTTACCAACAAAACCATTATCCAAGCAAAATAAGAAATAATTATTGGAATAATCTACATCTTACTGCACAAGATAAAAGGATAAAAACAACAACTGCTGCAAGAGAGAATAGAACAAAAGCATAAGTCATGAAAGAAACTAAAAGGATTATTACCAAAAGCAGCTCAAAGAATAGAGGAAAAATACTCAGCAGCAAAAGCATGATCATGATAAAAGAAAAAGGTACCATTTATGACTGGTCGGGGTCCCGATATCTGACCTTTCATTTCACATTCAGATGGAGGATCGAAATTAGAACCAGCAACCAGTCGGCCAATGGCCAATACTATTGGCCATTGGGCGACCCTAATCTCCAGAACTCGATGACTTCGTTGTCCCTCTTAGATCTGATTTTCTGATTAGGAGAATAAGGGCGAACCTGGTTCACAAAGGGTAGGGGAAGCGGACGGAGAAGAAGAGGAATAGACCAGAAAGTGGGGAAGGGGACTGAGAAATTTGGTATTTTATATTTGAACAGTAAACCGCTCTCTTAGAATCTCTAAGTAAACCTCATTCCTATATAATGTCATTCAAATGGAAAACATCTTAAAAAAAGTTTAAGTAGTTGTTAGAAATTTAGGTTTTCATGTAGGGGTTGTAATGTAATTAGCAAGAAATTTATATTTTATTTTGTCAATTAAATTTTAAATTTTTAAAAAAATTAATTAAAAAGTAATTTTTTATAAAATTTTTTAATTTTAATATAAATGACATAATTTTAATTAAATTAAGAAAAGTAATCTTAAAATACAGGTAAACTGACCAGTAAACACCCCCGAATACTAAAAAATGAATTTGGCCCTTTCAGCGTTGTTGCTTATTGTCAAAGTTCTGCCTTTTAAAACCGGATAATTCATGGGAAAAGAACAAAAAAAAAAAAAAGAGTAACTCATTAGAAGAGTTAAACTGGGTAACTACATTTTTTCAGTAGGGGAGGAAATAGATAGAAATGTTCTGCCTTCTCCCTTATTTGAAGGTTGGAAATTTGGCTGTCCTAACCTTTATGGCTAATTCTTTAGAGTTTAGATATTAGAAATTCTTTTGATGATTAACAATGGTTACACCCTTACCAGCTGGTAATAGACCTGTTTTGTTTTGGGAAGTACTTAACCTTAGCAGAAAAAAAATTGGCTAAATATCTTATGGTTGCAGATTTTCAGGTGGACCTGAAAAAGTGTAGCAAATGGATTAACAAACACAAAAGATTTAATAAAAGTATTTAAATAATTTAACAAATATTTTGCAATTTTTTTATACAGGTCAATTTGAAAAATATTTTTCTAATATATAAACATTTTTGGCACATATAAGTTAAATATTATGTATTAGGATCTAAAACAGTTTACTTGATCTGTTGTGTATTTGTATGATTGGCATTGGACACGTGCTTAACTTACTGTGACACACACCATCGTTGCTTTATTATTATTTGGACAATTCTTATCATTTATTCTTGCTTCTTGTGTTAAAAGAGGAATGCATCCATTGAAGAGGCCCTTGATTTTTATTTTATTTTATTTTTTGTATATTTTCACGAGAGAAATGAAGATAAAAAGAATTGGTTGCTGCAGGTATCCCAAGAAATGGCAATGACAAGTATCCATTGCAGGAAGGACATGGAGGCAGCTTTAGTTGCGTTGCTGCTGTTTTGGCATTTCGTTATTATTTATGTTTAAATTTATAATGTATTGTTTTATGAGTTACACAACTGGAGGTAATCCATTTTTAAGTTTTTTTTATTCATCTTAAAGTTTGAATTTGATATTTTTGGTTTAAAATTTTAATCTCTTAACGACTTGAAACTACTCCTTAAAGACTGAATTTATAGTGTATTAAACAATGGATTTGCACGGCAATTTGGAATTCGTTTTCATTGAGCCAAATGAGAGTACTTAAATTGCTTGCTACATTAGATTAGCAAGATTCAATAATTATCCCTAATTACAGGTTAGATGGCACTCGTTAGATTGGATTTCAGGTATAGACCTTCAGGTTACCAAGTACTATGTGGCAGAATAAGAACCAAGTAAATTGGTTTTGACTTGGTCAAACCACCTTGCTTCCCTTGAAAGATAGCTAGAAACCTATTTCTTTATCGTTTTCCCTTTAATTCACACCATGAGAAGGATGAAGGCTTTTCTGTTGTTGCTGCTTCTAAGATATATTCTCTCTTGGTTTCCCTTTGATTTCTGCAGCTTTTTCTTCTTTTGATTATGTGGTGTTTGAAAGGTACGGTTCTAGTTATTGTCTTCGGCAGTTAAAAAATTTGGACCCAAGTACTTTGCATTATCTTCAAAGCAGGCATTAAATAATTCTGATAAATGTTAGTAGTGCGTTCCACAAAATATCATGAATAGAACTCCTTTAATTTTTTTCGCCTCTACGTTTCCCTTAATTTGTTGATAAAGAGTAGTTTAATATATAAATTTATTATAGACTTGATTTTAGTTGGAGACAGATTTCGTGTGACTGTTTTGATGATTATATGTGCTGATTTACACTTTTGACTACTATTATTCTGAGAGTTGAAGTGTGGGTTTATCAGTCAGATATTACAATTATTGCCCTTGAAATGCTTGATTCAAAATAAATATGTGAAAGTGCATTCTTAGTGGATTGTGTGTGTCATTTTGGCATGCTTTATGTGCAGTAAAGTGTTTATACAATGTGGTTTGTGTGATTTTTTGTGAAGTTACAATGGATAATTTTTTATGAAGTTATATAAAATAAGTGGACCTACACATTAAGGGGTTAAATTATCTGCATATTGAATCTAAACCTATTGTTTGGGGTATCCAATAAATTCTTTGGGTAAAAGTAAACTTCTGTATGGTAACGTGAATGTTATAACTAACTTTAACACCCAATATTAGTACTAGAAAATTCAATAGATTCTATGGCTTTGTAATTTGAATATATGCATTGTCTTATGACTTTAAAATGCATAACTTAGTCTATGATTATATAGTATTGTGTGATTGTAATGCATGTCAATATGATTGTGATTTTTGACATATTATTGTAGTATGATTTGAAGTATTTGATTACCATGTATTTAATTATTAATACTTTATTAGGACTTGTGGTTTTATGCTTTACATGATTGGAAGTCATTGACTTGTTATTGTTAGTACCTATGACTATGAACCTCTAACTAGGTTATAGCTTATCGCTATGATTACATTTGGGCTTTCAGCTCACCTTGTTATATTTTTCCTTCCTTTCAGATAATTAGCTTGGAAGGGCAGCTTGTCAAGGCTTAGTAAGCTTTTGGTATAGGTCTTCAACACTACTTTGGCCCAAGAGCTAGAATCCTCATTCATTCTACATGGGAGTCACAAATCAGTGAAAACAAGGGATCAATAAGCTTAGCTGAGGAGGAACGAACATAAAGACAAGTATTTAGTAAGCTCGGCATACAAGAGTCTTTAGAGCTAAGTGAAGCAAAACAAGATATGTATTTATACATATGGATACATTATGAAAAGTCTTTTATGCCCATGGTACAAGTATATAGATTAACATGTGTAATGTATATTGCCATCCCCCCACAATTTGTGTGGGATGACACAGCACACATAAATTGATTCTTTGAGATTTGACTTGTGGCATTAAAAGGGCTTTGATGAGAAGAACATCAGCCTATTGATAAAAAGGATGGAACATATTGAAGCACAATCCAACCACTTGCAACCTTTTCCGTAACAAAATGAATGTCTATCTCCACATGCTTGGTCTGTTGATGCTGAATAGGATGGATAGATAAATAAGTAGCACTAAGATTATCACAGTAAATGATAGGAACAAAGGGATGAACGACATGAAGTTCTGAAAGCAATTGTCATACCCAGTGTACCTCTACAACTGCATTAGTAATCACTCGATACTCAACGTTTGCACTAAAACAAGCTATTGTATGTTGTTTCTTAGAAGACCAAGATATGAGAGAATTGCCAAGAAGTAGGCAATATCTGGAGATGGATCTATGAGTGTCTAAACATCCTGCCTAATCAGCATCGGTATACATACGCAAAGAAAGTGTGGAAGTACGAAATAGTTGCAAACCATATCCTAAAGTTCCCCTCATATATTGCAAAATGTTTTTCACAACCAGAAAATGATTAATGGTGGCTGCATACATGTACTGACATACTTGATTTACTATAAAGGAAATATCAAGTCTACTGAAGGTGAGATACTAAAGGGCACCAACAACACTATGATACTGAGATATATCAGAATAAAGAATGCTATCACATGTAGCTAGCTTATGTTTTGAAGCCATAGGAGTAGCAACAGGCTTGCATTCCATCGTACCATTCTTTTTAAGTAAATCTTGGATATACTTAGATTGAGAAAGAGAGAGACAACCCATCAAAATTAAACGTAGCATGAACATAAAGCGATTGGTACTGTTCTTACGCTCTTGCCTTAGGATGATTTGTGTAATGAAAAGAGGAAACCCAGCAATTGGTACTGTTCTTACGCTCTTGCCTTGATGAATTTCTTAGGTGGAAATGGTTAATATGTTGAGAATTGTTTGGGATCTCTTTTTTTTTTTTTTTTTTTTTTTTTTTTTGAGTGAACCGATCAGAGTGAGCAACTATGAAAAAGCTGTTAATGTGAGGCTTTAGTAGAAAAATATTGAGCATGTGATTAGAACCCTTTAGAGAGCATTTTTCTTTTGACAGTGGTTATGTGATTACATTATTAGGCTAATTGTTTCTTTGTGCAAAGTTAATTTCTTTGTCATTGATTAGGCCCTTTTTTTTTCTTTTTCTTTTTTTTTTTTCGAGGAAGGTGATGAGTCAATAGACACACATATGGCAGGTGGATTGGTTATATTGGTAAATTTCTCAATTTATTCTTCAGATGAAAAGCATGTAAGAATATATTTGGGCAATTTTGTTGCAATTTTGGACCTTTTGCTCAATTATTGTCAATTTTGGTGTTAAAGGAGACCACTTGGGACTATTTTGCGCTTTATTCACTGTGTTGTTGTTGTCGGTGTTCATTACAGACGGTGCAATTTATCATTACTCCTTTTCTTCTGTGTCTCAGGGTCCAGGGACCCGTTATGTACACAAACGGTAAATCAGTAACAGTGTATACAAAAACTGCGCAACCCCATAGAAAAAGCTTATATAAAATCTTATGCAAAATCTTATGCAAAATCTTATGCCATTGCTTTGTTTCTTTTATCCTGCCTCAGATTTTCTTTTTGTGAAATGCAAAATCGAGCAAAGCAAACATGTTTTCTCTTCTGCAGAGAAAAGTCCTGCTTTTATAGGTGCACGTTCTTTCTCAATCTCTCTAGAGTAATCATATATAGAACTACTAACGTGGGGATTATAATTTGGTTTGTAGTTTCTGATTAGGGCTGTGATTGTTCTTCAAGTTTGCTAATTTCTGTTCGGCTTCTGAGAAAGGTAGGGATAGGAAAGGAAAGGAAAATGAGTCATTTTAATTCTTTTGGTGCTTTTTATTTAATTTTTTGCTAGCCTCAATTTGTTTGATTATGGTTCCTTTCTTTTGTTTACTTTTTGATTAGTATGATTGATTTTTGTTGAATTGCATGCCAGAACTAGGGGTCATTTTCTTGAATAATTTTTTGGGACATATATGTCTTCTATAGACCCAGATGGGTTTCTGTTTAGCCAATAGGTAGACTTAGCTTAATGAGGTATATTGCAATCAAGTTTTTTGCTTTAAAGTATGCTGGTGAAAGTTCTAAGTCATGCATTTAGTATCTCTTTTTTTTTGGAAGCACAGTGGACAAGTTTTGGGATGAAATCTTTTGCTGTCTATTTGAAAGGTTTGTGACTAGAGTGGCCCTACATGCTTTTGTGGCATTTTGGGTAATTTTTGGTTGTGATTGTGAACCTAGCTACTGCCATTTTCAGCTGGCCTCCTTTTAATTTTCTGTTCCCTACCATTTATTTTGCATTTTACAGGTACTTTTAAGATAAAAAGATGAGTGATTAGAATACCTTATGTGAAGGGAGGATGTGCTGTTAATGGTATACAATGGCTGATCCATTATCCCTTCTCTTTTACGTCTGATTTGACGTTTTTGAAGGCTATGGTATTCATTCTTCTCCCTACTTTATTTTTATTTAGTAATTTGCCATAGTCTTTTTCCTTTTTAAGTGAATATTATTAATTTTGTGGATATGTCTACTGATTGCTTTGTCAACCATTCTTCCAATGTGTGAAATGTTTATTCAAGGTGTAATCGACTTATTTTGGTTGTATGCTAATATGGTAGTCATTACCTCCATTATTTCTTGAAATGCATATTATTATTGGTCTATGTAACAACTCCAATTCTTGAATGATGCTTTATTGCTTTGCTAAGGAATGCACTATAAAATTCTGGCTAAAAAAAAAGAAAAATTGGTAATTCCTTGTAATCGTCATGCAAGAATTTGGGATCATAAGAGGTAATATGGTACCATTGGGAGTTAGAGTTTTGTTTAGGCTAAAATTCATCTTGATCTTTGTTTTTGACACTGTGGTTGCATCCTTATGGGCAATTATAGAACTTAGCTTTAAAGAGATACCAGTATTTAGTTGTTTAAGGCCTTCTGGCATTCTTTTCTTTACCATTTCGGGTTCTATAAGAGAAGTTCTTTAACTGTTTACAGCTTCTTCTTTTTTTTTTTTTTTTTTTTTTTCCAATTATTTATGCCATGAATTTTTGGAGCTTTTAGGTCCTTTTACTTGCTTTTAGGTTCATTTGTGCCATGAATGAAAAATGCACTTCTCTGAATATTTTTTTGTAGAATACTAAGGAAAGTGTTTCTTTTTTAAAATAAAAAATAAAAAGATACTTTCTATGTTTTTATTGTCTTAAGGTTGTTCAACCATGTGATAAGACGAGCATTTTTTTAAATAAAAAAAGAGAATTACATTTTTCATTGACAAATATTTCTATGTTTTTGTTGTCTTAGATGGTAACGCTGATTCTTATGTCTTATGTTTTCTTCTTCTTTTTGTAAACTTTTTTTGTCCATTCATCATGTTTGATTGTGTGCTGGGAACATTTTTGTTATTCAATTGCTTTGTCATTGTGTTTTGTTAATGATAGATGATTTCTTTCTCTTCGTAGATTGATTGTGCCGGTTTTGATTAAGAATTTATGTTATGGACACACATGAATTTGCTTACTTATCCCTTGTTTGGATTGAGGAAGTTAGAGGGGAAGGAGAGGAGAGTGAGGGGATAAAAGCTCCTTTTATTGTTTGAAAAAAAAAATTTAATATTGTTGTGCTCATATTGATTAATAAAATAATAATGTTATGTACTCCCTCCTTTTGTATTTAGATGTCTAACTTAATTAATAAAGGTGTTTTTAATTGAGTGTTTTACTTTTTATTTTTAAAGAATATTAAATG